TCCTCCTCCTCCTCCTCTTCCTCCTCCTCCTTCTCCTCCTACTCCTTCTCCTCCTGCTCCTCCTTCTCCACCTCCTCCTGCTCCTCCTCCTGCGCGCCGCCCATTTCTGTTCGTCGATCCTGGGCAAACCGACGCGCCCGTGAACTGCAGCGCGGTGCTGCTGCCGCCGCCCTTTGGCTGGTCCCCGTAGTCCTTGTAGCAGATCACCGCGACCTTGATGGGCCTGTTTTCCACCACCACCACCATAAGTTGGAGGGGGGAAGGAGGTGGAGGAGGAGGAGGAGGAGGAGGAGGAGGAGGAGGAGGAGGACTCCCTCCCCCTCCAACTTATGGTGGAAAACAGGCCCATCAGACCTGGGGGGCGTCTTGGTCGTTGCCGATGGCCTGCTGTATGCCGGACCATGCCGACTTCAGCCCGCGCTTGCAGAAGAAGAACAGCAGCGTAGACATAACTTTCGGATGTCGGCGCGGACTTCTCAGATCGGCTCTGGGCCCCCGTCCCTGGCGCGCGGAGCGCGCCAGGGGGCCCAGCGTAGATCCACGAAATCTGCGTGGAACTCCGAACATTTATGGCTCTGCATTTTTGTTCTTCGTCGAGCTTGGCGCCGTCGAGCATGGACTGCATGGAACCCGTCACGTCGAGGCACATGCACACCTGCAAGTCCTCGGGGATCTGACCCGGGCAAATCCAGACCCGGGTCAGTCAGGCCTTGCAGCATCCTGAAAAAATCCTGCGGGATCCTGCAGGATCCTGCACCAAAGCCCGGGCCTGCCGGGCCTGTGCGCCCTTGGCCCTGCAGGATCCTGCAGGACCTGGCGCTCTGGCTGACGCCCGTTTGAATCCCCCCCCCGCCCTTTGAGCCCCGATGTCCACGCGCTCCAACTCGCCCGGCCCCTCGCACGCTCCGACGAGCTCCCAGCCCTCCGTGCCTGGGAGAGTCGGTGCCTCGGTGGTGTCGACGTCCATCGGCGCCAGGCCCTGGGCGCCAGCGCCCGCGCCCGCCTTCTCGGGGCCTGCCGGCGGGTGCCCCGGCCCAAGGTGTCCCCAGCTTTTCGCTCCCTTTTGAAACCCCTGGGGTAGAGGCCTCCTAGATGGGGTCCGCGTAGATGGAGTCGGAGGATCGCGCCGCATCGCCAATACATCGCCGATGCATCCGCAGTGGATCGGCGACGTCGGCGATGCGTCCGCGACGTCGGCGTCGGGAAACCCGAGCTCCACGTCGACCCGCATCGCCGACGCATCGGCGATGCGGCGCGATCCTCCGACCCCTATCTACTCCGACCCCGTCTGGGAGGCCCAGATGGGGCCCTCTGGGCCTCGTGAGCTGTGCTCCGAACATCCTGGGGACCCCTTGGGCCAGGGACACCCCTGGCAGCACCCGACCTTTCTCGCGTAGAAGTCCCCCACGAGCCGGCACCGCTCCTCGGGGCAGAAGGCTTGTCTGCAGGCAGGGCACTCGGCCGGGAAGTCTTGGGCTGGGGCGCGTCCGACCTGGCGCGGGCGCGGGCACCTGGCACGGGCCTCGGCGCGGGTGGCGCTGAACATCTTGGCCGAAGGGGCCCAGGCGGGGCTCCCACGGGGTTGGGTCGGTGGCCGCTGCTGGTCAACGTGCAGCGAGTGCGAGCAGCGGATCGTGCCTTACGCCTCGAGCCAAAGCCTGGGAGAAAGAGAGAGAGAGAGAGAGACACACACACCCACTCCCACCGCCACCGCCACCGCACACGCACATTCACATGCGCACGCACACAGACACACACACACATCAAAGACACGCAAACACACACACACACGCAAAAACAAAAACCTACAACACACACAGACACACAGACACACACACACACACACACTCACAGACAAACAGACCGACAGACAGACAGACACACAGACACACAGACGCACATACACACAGACACACAGACACACAGACACACACGCACGCACGCACGAACGCGCACACACACGTACGCAAACCACACAAGCAAACCACACAAGCCAACACAAACGCAGACACAAACAGACACACACAGACACGGACACGGACACAGACACGGACACACACACAGACACACACAGACAGACACACACACAGACACACACACAGACACACGCACAGACACACACACACACAAACACACACACAGACACACACACAGACACACACACAGACACACGCAGAGACACACACACACGCACACACACTGACACACACACACACACACACGCACACACACAGAGACACACACTGACACGCCCGCCCGCCCGCCCGCCCGCTCCCGCCCCCGCCCCCGCCATCGCCCTGGAGCGCACGCACGCGCACGCGCACGCGCGCACGCGCACGCGCACGCGCAACGCTCAACGCGCAGCGCGCACAGCACGCGCAGCACGCGCAGCATGCGCAGCACGCGCAGCACGTGCAGCACGCGCAGCACGCGCACGCGCACTTGCACACGCACGCGCACCCCCCCCCCCCCCCCCACATCCCCCCCCCCCCCACACCCCCCACACTACAACCCCCATCCCTCCCTTCCTATGATTGAACACCCCCACTCCCCACCCGCCGGACCGATAGCCCTCCGCGTCCTACCTTCCAAAAACTAGGACGGCTCAACCCCTTCTCGCCAAGCATGTGCGACTTCGGAAGTTGCGGAAAAAATGTAACATCGCAGGACGGAAGAACATCGCTTGGGTAAAACTCCTAAGCGGGTGGTCGCTGTCCACTACCCATCAACTTTCCGCCGTCCCAGCGGGCCAGAATTCTGCTAAGATCTCAGGTAATTGGTTAACCATATTTCCGAATATCGCAGCGCGCGGGGAGAAAAAAAAAAAAACAAAAAAGAAAAGAAGAGAAGAGAAAGGAAAAAGAAAAAAAAAAAAAAAAAAAAAACGGCCACCTTGGGCCCCCGGACGAAAGTACCGTGGGGGGGGAGGGGGGGAGGGGACTCTCGGGGTGGTGGGCGTTGCGGGCCCATGACCTTGTGGCTCAAATAAAAAACATAATGGCTTCGAGTGCATGCGCAAGCTTGCCACCTATGTTTTCGAAGTCGCCACTGTCTGCAATATCTTCAAACTCGGCGTCCGGTCGTTCGGCGGCGCGGACGAAAGCGCGCGCCTTGCGCGGGCGCCAGGAGGCGCTGCCGACGCCTTCCCACACACGCTGCTGCAAGCCATCCACCTGCGTGATATTCGGCAAGTGGGGGGCGGGAGCGGTGCCAGACTCCTTGACGGGGGAAACGCCGCCGGCAGAATACTGTGAAAGGTTCTGAGATGGAGCGGGAGCTGGTGGTGAAGTCGCGCGACATGCCCCCCCCCGTCGTGGTCGACGCGCGCGGCGCGGGCAGCCGCAGAGGCTGCGCCAAGCGGAAGGAGCCGTGGTGGGTCCGCGCCGACATTTCCGTCAGCGAAAGCACCCGCAGCACGTGGAGTTCCACCAACTGCGGGCATTGTAGGTGGCGGTGGCGCGTAATGTGCGGCGTCGGTCAAATGCTCGGGGGCGAGGTCGTCAAGTGGTCGTGAAGTCTTGCTGCAGCTGTTCCACGCGCTGATGAAGATTGGCAACGTCGTCGCGGGTCCGATGGGCGCACTGCGAGTGCCCATCCAACTGATGCTCCAGGTCTCGGAATCGCAGGCCCTGTGCTTCCTGATGCGTGTCCAGGCGACTGGTGGGAATCATCAGCCCGCGCCTTTGCCAGCGTCTCCTTCGCGAGAGACTTGCGAAATCAGGGGCTGCGCAGCAGTGATGGGGGAGAGATCGCAAACCGCGGCCGAGGTCGCCAACTGATCACTCCGGGCCCGCAAGACTCACGATTCGGCCACACGGCCTGCCGCGCTGGCGCGTTATGCTCGATCGCGGAGGTCCGGGGCGCAGGCGCTGGCATAGTGGCCTCGGATGCGTCGATGCGCGGAACGATGGTATTATCTGCGTTACACAGCTTAAAATGTACATCTTGCTCGACGTTGGAGGTCTCGACGCGGAGCCGCGCAGACGTCGCTTCGAAGCGATCCCGAAGCTCGAAGGGTTCACCTCGGAGAGCGTCCTCTGGTATTCCCAAATGCCTCTGAAGCAGGGCGCAGAGCCGTCTCGCAGATCATCGCGCAAGGCTCGCGCAGCAGCCGCGCTCTGGTCGCGGGCGCCCGCGAAATGCGCCTCCACGGCAAGGAGGTACTCGCGGAGCGTCTGGAAGGACTGGGCGGCATGACCTCGGCACGACTCAGCGCGGTCGAGTTGGCGCCGAACTTCGCCTCGGACCCGGCGACCCTCAGCAATCCGTGGGCCGATCGCACTCATGGCCCTACGGAACTCGGCTCGCAGGATGGCCGTCCGCGACGACGCATCCGCGATAGACTTGGCAGGCCTGACGACTGTTGAGTCGTAGAAGTGTCAGCCTGGTCTTTGAAAGCTGCCATTTCGTCGGCGGAGGGCATTGCGTGATGGGCGGCGCGCGCGGCGCCGCTCCTCGGCGAGCTCTGCCGCGAGCGCCTCCGGGGAAGGCCGCGGCTGATGTCATGGCGCTGAGGTCGGATGTGATACCTACAAGGGGGTGGGTGCTCTGCTGTTCTGTGCAGCTGGTTGGGGCGCCGCGGGCGCCGGCTGCTCAGCCGCGCCGCTGCGGCCCTCGATGGCACGAACGTGTTTTGCGACGGGAACAGACGCGGGGCCCAGGGGGCCTCTCGCGTCCCAGCGGCGGGCGCGCGCGGAAGCGCTGGGAGTTCAACCAGGCGGCGCGCGCGTGGGGATTTGAGACCGTTTCTTTCTGCTCGGCGATGCCGGGCATCATGGGGGGGGCGGGGGGGGGTATGACGTAACCCATAACGCCCCACCCCCCCGCCGTGTGGCTCCGGCACCACAGCCGCGCCCGCGCGCACGACGCGACGAGCGACGAGCGACGAGCGACGAGCGACGACAACGACGACGAGGACGAGGACGAGGACGACGCGAGCAATTGTACGTGGCGGTCTGCCCCACTGCGCCTTTGTACACGTCGCTCGCGTGCACCACAACGCGCGCGAACAATACAACACCTGCGTACACCGCAAGAACCGTGTGCAACGCAACGCCTGTGTACACCACAGTGCTTGCGTACGCTACGGAGCTGGTGTACACGTGTACACCGCAGCAACCGTGTGCAACGGAACGCCTGTGTACGCCACAGTGCTTGCGTGCACCAACTTCCTGTGCACGCCACAGCGCCTGTCTACACCACAACATCCGCGTGCAACGCAGCGCGAGTGTACACCAGTGCCTGCGTGCAGGACCGTGCTGATAATCGAATGCGACGTTATTCCCTCTTCCCTCCTCCTCAACCTCCACTTCCACTTCCACCTCCTCTTTTTCCTCCTCCTTCTCCTTCTCCTCCAGCCCCTCCTCCTTTTCCTCCTCCTTACCGCCTGTCGTGCGGGGCGGCGCTACAGCGCACGTGCGCAATTCAGCGCGCACTGTACCGCAGAATGGTCGATTGAATCGGTCCACTTGGTTCTCGCACGGCCAATTTCACTGGAGCCTCTTGGGACGCCGATGGGCGAAGTCAGGGTGATGCGAGCGGACTCGGGGAAACTCGTAGATTCCAACGGCGCTCCTTTGTCCATAAAGATCCATTTGTATTATTTTGGTGGAGTCCACAAACGCTCCATTTTGTCATACGGATTCCTTCGATATGCAAGAGTGGCGCTGTGTTGCACACGGTTGCTGTAGTGCACACAAGCACTGTGTTGCATACAGGCACTGCAATGCACGCAGGCATTATGATGTACACTGGTGCTGTGTTGCACACGGCTGATGTGGTGTACGCAGGCGCTGCGGTGTACACAACAGCTGTTATGCCCGCGACCACGGTGGCACACACTGACGCTGTATTGCACGCGGCTGCCGTGGTGTACATAGGCGGTGTGGTGTACACAGGCGCTGTGGTGCACGCAGGCACTGTGGTGTACACAGGCGTTGTGGTGCAAATCGCCACCTACATGCTGGTGCTACCCGTCCTCCGCCATAACTAAGCATTCCCAGACGCCGCCGGCGCGAAACATCATGTCATCGATCCCCTCCACACCCCTCAGATGATTGCCGCGATCGGCCCGGAACAAACAACAGGCTCCGGCCGTGTCCGTGCGCACGGCGACGATGAGCGACGAGCCACGAGTGATGACGACGACGACGACGACGACGACGACGACGACGACGACGACGGACCAGACTCCTGTGCGGATTCTTTCGCGGACACCTACGCGGATCCCAGCGTGCACGGCGGCAGAGCCCGGAACGCACTGGGGAGGGAACGTTACGTCATAGGGGGGGGGGAGCGGGGGCCATGACGCCCGTCATGCCCCAAGCAATAAAGAAATGGTCTCTGTCTGGCGACCCACCGTGGGGATTGCCCCCGATTCCCCAGGCGTTGCCATCGACGTCAGATGCAGCAGCAAGAGCAGGAGGTCGAGGAGCCACGGCCCGAGGAGGGTGTGCCCCCCCCACGACCTGGCGCGCGAAGCGTGGGGATTGCTTCCGCGTGGGGTCGAGAGCGTTCCCTTGCCGCGCGCAACAGCTCTGCCTGCGG